GGGGAGCAGAAATAGTTAAGTCCAAGAGACTTTTATCTCCAATGAATCAGCTATTATAAGCCAGAAGTGGAACTGTGACTCAAGTAGTAGAGAGTTAACCTTGAGCAAAAAAACTCAGGGACAGAGTCCATGCCCTGACCCTGAGTTCAAGCCTCAGGAGCAACACCAAACCACACACATACAAAAAAAGGTAGACTCTAAAATCACTTCTATTTTGCAACTGAAAAAGAGCTGCAACTGATTAAACTTTTTTCTGTGACAGCTAATTTTTCCAAGTAATAGAATAACGGGAAAGGCAGAGTGAATGGAACAGAGAGAGGCAAGTGCTGTCACTGACCTGGCATCTAGGAAGATCATCAGCCCACTGGCACCGTCAGGAGCAGAAATCCTCTTCAGGAAGCAGTCTGCCCTGTTCTAACTTCTAAGGAAGAGTTACTTATGGGGCTGAGACAAAAGCTCAGAGGTAGGCATTTGTACTGAAACTGAGAAAACCTACAAAACTGGGGGTGACGTAGAGCTAGCTCACCACAGGGAGCAACAAAAGCCGTTGAGGGTGAAGCAAAACAATTTAGAGATTTATAAGCTCCCTGAGGATGAAGAAAACCTACCCAGGCAAAGTCACCAGCCAGTGATTTTTCCGCAAGCATAGCAACCTCAGCTAGCTAGAACACGAACACTTCCTGTGTCTTGACAGTGGCCTAAGGTTCTTTTGAAAACTTAACCCTCAAAATAGTTGATACTACAATTGCCTGGTGCTGCTGCTTTACTTACCGCAGTAGGTGTATGAAAGCGTTGCATCAGAGGAATTGCAGGCCCAGGGTTGCGCCTCAGATTCAATAAAAATGAAAGAAAACAGAGTAGAGAAAAGCACAAATGGTAACATGTTTCTGTAGCTCCAAACGTTGAAACATTGGAGAAGGATCAGAAACTACTCATCAGCCTCTCTTCCCTTACAGTAAATAGGAAAGATTTAACTTCCTCATCAGTCACGTGGTTTCTGAGATCCTAGACCACTGCTTCCTCTTTTTATGTGTCAGTGTGTGTTAATCCTGCTGCAGGAAGAAAAGGATTAGAATGTGCTGTGTGTGAACACTTGATGAAAATGAAAGTGACTCTTGAGTTTAAAAAACAAACAAGGTACCAGGAGCTAGTATGGCTCCTCAGTAATCCTAGCTACCACGGAGGCTAAGCTTTGACAATCACTGTTTGAAGCCAGCCAGGCAGACAAATCTAAAAGACTTTCTATCTCCTACTAACCAGTAAAAAGCTCAACGGAAAGATGAGCCTCTAGTGGTAGAGCACCAGCCTTAAGAAAACAAAAACAAAAAAACTAAGGGAGAGCATGAGACCCTGAGATCAAGTCCCAGTACTAGCACAAAAACAAAAACAAAACCCAAGGTACTTCCCAAGGATAGCAAGAACAACCATCCACTGGTCTCCTTTTAAGTCTTAAAAGATGTCATGTGTGCTAATGAAGAAGTACAATACTCTCTCTCTCTCACTCCCTCTCTCTCTCTCTCTCTCTCTCTCTCACATACACACAGACACACACACAGACACACACACACACACACACACGAAGGCTTAAAAGATGTTCCTTTCCATCTGCACTAGGAAAGTTCTTTAAGCAGGCGTCGGTGGTTCACACCCGTAATCCTAGTTTCTCAGGAGGCTGTGAAGTGGCATTGTGGCTCAAGTGGTAGAGCACTGGCCTTGAGCTGAAGAGCTGAGGGATAGCACCCAGGCCCAGAGTTCAAGCCCCACGACTGACAATAAATAAAAAAGAAAAGCTCTTTTTACGACAGTTTCTCATAACCATCACCTAGGCTTGTTACTTTGAACTGAAATGTCTTATGCAAACATTTTGCTTATACAAGGTTCAGCCATATACAGAAGAGGCTAGTTGAAATCCATACATTGAGGTAGTCCTATGCTGTCTCCAGAATGTGTTCTGATTCAGAATTTATTCATCATACAAACTAGAGCCTGATTAAATTTTTTGGTTTTGGTTTGATTTGGCTTGGTGTAATGCTAGGAATTGAACTCAGGGCCTCATGCAATACTATAGCCAAGGGCTCTTCAACTGAACTAAGAAGCATCAAGGGAATATTTGGAATCTCAATAATAGTATTTCCCTCAAGACTTTCATTCTGTTTTAGAAAAAAAAATGTTATTATTTTGATGCTTTGCTCCTTAGAACCCTTCATATGATGTTAAGGGTTAGGACTAAAAAAAAAAAAAAATGGCATGGAGTAGTAGCCTAAAATCTGTATGTTTAAACTGGGTGCTGGTGGCTTACACTGTAATCCTAGCTACTCAGGAAGCTGAAATGTGAGGATAGTTGTTCAAAGCCTGCCTGGGCAGGAAAGTCCATGAGACTCTTTTTTTTTTTGCTTATGTGGTGCTGAGGAATGGAACCCAGGGCCTCAGGCATGCAAGGCAAGCGCTCCACCACTGAGCCACCTTCCCAGCCCTCCATGAGACTCTTATCTCTAGTTAACCACCAGAAAACCAGAAGTGGTGCTATGGCTCAAAGTGGAAGAGTGCTAGCCTTGAGCTGAAGAGCTGAGGGACAGCACCCAGGCCCAGAATTCAAGCCCAATGACTGACAACAACAACAAAAATGTATACTTCACAGCAAAATAATCAAGTCAGACACCTTTAATTCTTAGCAACTCAGAAGGCAGAGGCCTGGAAGACTCAAGTTCAGAGCCAGCCCAAACAGGAAAGTGAAACTCGATCTCCAATTAACCAGTAAAATGCTGGACTGGAGTCATGGCTCAAATGGAAAAATGCCACCCAAGCAAGTAAGAATGTAATGCCCTGAGTTATTGCCCTGTCTCCTGAGTTACAGGAGACAGATCTGAGGATCCAGTCTAAATCCAGTCAGAGCAGATAAATCCAAGAGACTCTTAGATCCCATTAACCAGCAAAAAGCCAGAAATGGAGGGTCACAGAGAGAACAAATGCAGCAGTGGTACTCAGTAGAAAATACATTAAAAAATGAACTATACAACTTGTGGACAGGGATGGGAGGGGAAAATTGGGAAAGAATAAAGGGGTGCCATTGTCCAAAAGAAATATACTGATTACCAAACTTATGAAACAGCAACCCCTCTGTACATCACCTTTATAATAATAATTAAAAAAAAAAATTTTGGTTGGTCATGGGGCCTGAACTCTGGGCCTGGGCACTGTCCCTCAGCTCTTCAGCTCAAGGCTAGCACTCTACAACTTGAGCCACAGCACAACTTCTGGTTTTTTATGTGTATGTGGTGCTGAAGAATCAAACCTAGGGCCTCAAGCATGCAAGGCAAGCACTCTGCCACTAAGCCACCTTCCCAGCCCCAATAATTTAAAATTTTTTTAAATTTAAGCCAGAAGTGGACCTGTGTCTCAAAATAGTAGAGCACCAGCCTTGAGTGAAAAAAAAACAAGCAAAACATAAGTCCCTAAGTTCAAATCCCAGGACTGAAACGGGGGGGGGGGGGGGAAGGAGGGGAGAGATGAACAACAGCTCCTAGCAATCAGTGGTACAATAATGTAAATATAATTAGTACTATCTATCTGTAGTGGGGCATACTTGTAATCACAGTACTCAGGAGGCTGGGTACTGGTACTCAGTACTAAGTACCACTGTAACCTCAAGCCTTGATGGGATAGTTCACATGTGGTACACCAGTTTAGTTGGAACTTGATTTTGTAACTGGGAGTTTCTGTTCTATTAATGGTCCACCCTGACAGCTGACAACACCCCTCTCTTTCTAGTCAAGGTCCATCATTCTCATTCTTCAGGTTCTGCCTATTGGAGGTTTTTAGTTCTATCAGAGTCATTTTAAGTCAGCTGCTAAAATTTTGCTCCTATGTCCTGAAAAGCCAGTCGAACATTTCTTGGGGGGGGGTTGTCTTTTCATGACTGTTTGTGCCAACAGAGCTGACTCCTTCTGGAGTCTCTAGTGCAAGAATGCCTTTTTCAGCTATTGCTACAATCTTTCATGTTCAATGTGCAAGGCTGCAGTCTCTTCTCCATCATCCTATCCTCTCTGACTCCCAGCTTCCCTCTTACAAAGATCTCTGTGATTACAATGAACCAGTGTAATCCAATCTATAATCATTCAATTTGTCTGCAAACCTTTTTTGTTGTTTGCTGTACTGGGATTTGCAGAGCCACTCATATGCTCCACAGGCATTCTACTACTTAAGCCACATCCCCAGAGTTGTGAAATCCATTTAGAGCTAATGATTGACTGAGAACACAAAAAGGAAGGACAAATTGGATAACCAACTGAAGATAGCACTGCTTAGACTTACCTTTTCCCTTACAGCTAACCACAAATTCAACTGCACATTCTTACTATGGCAACTATCCCAGAGGAGTTAGGCAAAAACCTGTGCTCTACTTAGGAATCCATGAATTGAAATCCCATTTGGCTTGTTTGGTTGGTACTGGACCACTAGTGCCATGACTCCAGCTCATCTTTTTTTCCTTTGTTGTAGATCCTAGGGCTTGAACTCAGGGTCTGGGCACTGTCCCTGACATTTTTGCTCAAGACTAGCTTTCCACCATGTAAGCCATAGTCCCACTTTTGGATTTTGGTGGTTAATTGGAGATAATAGTCTTATGGACTTGCCTACATTGGCTGGCTTCAAACCTCGATTCTCAGATCTCAGCCTATTGTGTAGCTATGATTACAGACATTCAGCATCCAGCCCAGCTTTTTACAGGTTATTTTGGAGACAGAGGAGTGAGGACTTTTCTCCACAGGCTGGTTTCAAATCACAGTCCTCCTGATCTCAGCTTCCTGAGTAGCTGTGATTATAAGCCCAAGTCACCAAAGTGTCTGGCTCAAAAGTTTAAGTAGGAAAAAAAATATTTCTCTATTTAGAAAAACCCAAACACAAAGAAAATATAACTCTCCTTTTCCTTCTGACATTCAATCCCCAGTTCAGAGACAACCAAACATATAATCAATGCATATGCCAGTATGTACCTGCACATTCACATTTAAAACATTACAAAGGAACATCATTCTGATAATGAATTAGAAGCTGTTTAATAGTTTCAAGTTATTTTTAATAATCACTAACAAAAAAGAAAAGGCAGTTTTATATACCAAAACACAGATTACAATTACAGTAGTTACAAACATAACAGCAACAAGGCCCATTAATCATCGTCAAGCTGTTTCTTTGTACTAGCCTCCTCTGTATCAAAAGTGAACGGTTTGTCATAACCCATTAGATGGTTATAGTCATCAGGATTTGTAAAGAGCACGGGATTAACTAACAATGACTTTGTTTTTGCATAAAATGTGGTAAACAAATGTGCACTGTTGGGGATCTTCACATCATTCTGGTGAAACACTGTGCTCATTTCTGAAAGCAAAACACTGTAAGTAATAGCTTTGTAAGTGTCCGTCGTGGGCTCATGGTATAATCGAACGACATAGCCTTTTGTAAGGAAGTGAAGCAGTGTTGGGGTGATCACTGTAAAGCTTCCTAGGACGCCATAAAATAAGATTTGTAAAGGCAGACTTCCAAATATAATGTTACTCTGTGCAAACAGGTATGGTAGAAATGCAAGGCTGAGCACACTTGTAGAATAAGAGAAACATTTCACACCTAAAGGGAAAAAAGAGAAAATGATTAATACTTTTAAATTACACCTAAGAATCAATTCATCCTAGTAATTCTTTCATCTTTCTTATGGTGTATCATCATGAAAACATTACCAATGTTTAAATCCTAGTATTATCACAAGAAAACAAACAAAAAAGCATCACAATGAGATAAAAATACAAATTACACTGCTTTATTACATGCCAGAATCTCTTAAGCAATTTTCCACACATTAATAATAAAATCTACCTATGAGATGAGTGTATAATAGTCAACACCACAATAAAAAGTAGAAAAGGAAATGCCAGAGGAACTCAATTTGGAAGCAGACCTGGACTTCACAATGGAACCTGTCTCAAAAAACAAAAACAGAGAGCAAGGATAGGGCTAGGTACGCAGCTTTGTGGTAGAATATTTGTCTAGCATGAGTGAGTCTCACAAATTTCTGCCCAGGCTAGCTTTTGTTTTTGTTGGTCATGAGGCTTGAACTCTGGGCCTAGGCGATGTCCCTGAGCTCTTCAGCTCAAGGTGAGCACTCTACCACTTGAGCCACAGTGCCAATTCTGGTTTTCGGAGTGGTTTATTGGAGATATGAGGCTCACGGACTTTCTTGTCCAGGCTGGCTTTGAACTGTGATCCTCAGCCTCCTAAGTAGCTAGGATTACAGGTGTAAGCCACTGGCACCCAGCCCAAGCTAGCTCTAAACTGCTTGAGCTGTGGCTCAAATGGCAGAATGACAGCCTTGAGGAAAAAAAAAAAGAAAAAAGCTAAGAAACAACATCCAGGCCCTGAGTTCAAACCCCACAACCTAACAGTAAAATATCACGCCCATAATAACTAGCTACTCAGGAGGCTGAGGATAGTGGTTCAAAGCCAGCCCAGGTAGGAAAGACCATGAGACTCTTATCTCCAACAAACTACTCAGAAAACCAGAAGTGATGCTGTGGTTAAAGTGGTAGAGCACTTCCTTGTCTTGAGCTGAAGAGCTGAGGGACAGAGCCCAGGCCCAGAGTTCAAGCCCCACAACTGACTCAAAATAATAATAATAATAATAATATTTAAAAATAAATAAAACAGCAAGTTTTTTTGTTTTTGCCAATCCTGGGCTTGAACTCAGGGCTTGGGCCACTGTCCCTGAGCTTCTTTTTTCTTTTACTCAAGTCTAGCACTCTAGCACTTGAGCTAAAGTGCCATTTCTGATTTTTTCTGTGTATGTGGTACTGAGGAATCGAACCCAGGGCTTCATGAGTGCTAGGCAAACACTCTACCACTAATTTACAAATTTACTTAAGATGTTAATTTCTCTTAGTTTTAACTTACAATTTTAACATGATAGTAATCAAAGTACCATCTCTTTGGAAAACTAAACAACTGAGATCCAAAACAAATATTTTGACGTATATTTGAAAAAACAAAAGAATAAAAATACCAACAAGGACAGCCAGGTTATCAGCAGCTCACACTTGTAATTCTAGCTATTCAGGAGTCTGAGATCTGAGGATCTCAAATCTAAGTCTCATGAAAGTTCATGAGACTTTTATCCCCAATTAACCATCAAAAAGACAGAAGAGGGCCAGGCGCTGGTGGCTCACGCCTGTAATCCTAGCTACTCAGGAGGCTGAGATCTGAGGATTGCGGTTCAAAGCCAGCCCGGGCAGGAGAGACCGTGA